CTTGGGTTCAATCCCTAGTACCAAAGAAAGAGAAAAAGAAATCCCATATCTATTAAGGGTCACTCCTTATTACTTCCTCCCTGCAACCTCTGGCAACAACTAGTTGGCCTTCTGTCTCTGGATTTGCCTGTTTGGGAAATCTCATATAAATGGACAATATGTGGTCTTTCGTATCTGACTTCTTTCAATGTTTTCAGTATTCAATATTTCAAAATTGGGGGGGGGAGACCATCAGTTGTAATTCCAAGAGATGAACTCAACTGGTAAGAAAATATTTGTTTTCTGGTTTTCAGAAATAATTAAAAATACCATATTGGAAAAATTGTCAAAAAAAAAAAAAATCACCCACATCCCAGTACAGTGGCCCCAGGCCACTGGGAGGCTGAGGCAGGAGAATCCAAGTTCAAAGCCAGCCTCAGCAAAAACGAGGTGCTAAACAACTCAGTGAGACCCTGTCTCTAAATAAAATACAAAATAGGACTGGGGATGTGGCTCAGTGGTCTAGTACCCCTAAGTTCAATCCCTAGTACCTCCCCAAAAAGATTCAACATCTTATGTGTGTGGTTCTGGGGATTAGAACTTAGCCTCATGCCTGCTAGGCAAGTGATCTACCACCGAGCTAGGCCTCCAGCCTGTACATCTCTGCTTCTAATAAAATCTTTCTTAGAAATCCACTACAATAAAACGGAGCATTTGCTGCAGCAGCACACATACTAAAATTGGAACCATACCGAGAAGATTAGCATGGCCCCTGCACAAAGATGACTGGAAAATTTGTGAAGCATTCCATTTACAATAAAATAATAAAGTAAAGCCAATTAAAAGAAACTGCTGAGATGGTAGTGATGGAACTTCTGAAGACCCCTTTGGGGCTAAAAACCCCTTGCTCCAAATGGCTTTGTTAGATCCTTCGCTGCTTAGAATCTGCAGGCCTCAAATCCCTCCAAGGTTTTCCCCATCCTGATTTCTTGCTTTTAGAGATTAATGGAGGTAACAGTGCATCTCAAGCTATGCACCTGGCTTTCAAGATGTGCTATAAAGGGATCACCTGGTTCTTATTAAAATGAGAATTCTGGGGCACACCCTAGACTTGTACAATGGGAATCTTCTTGGGAGAACCCTGGAATTTGCAATTTTAAAATGTACTTCCAGGTGATAGTGATGTTTTAAAATTTGAGAACCACTGAACCGGAAAACACTGGGAGGTGAAAGTGGGAGTAAATGACTGAGGCTGGTGAATGTTGAAAAACCATCATCTTCCAAAGCCATTATGAGCATCCTTCTTGGTTAACTGAGTGGAAGGGAGGAGGTGGATTTTCCCTGGGGATCCAGATGCCAACTGGGACTGCCTCAAGGTCATCTTGAGGGACTACAAAGACCAGTCCCCAAGGACAATGGCCTTCTTATGCCCTGGGAACTGTGCTCAACAGTGTTTAGGCTTCTCCAAGTGTTGCTTTTTTTTTTTTTTTTTTTTAATGATGCTTATAATGGTTACTTTTCTGAAATTAGAAAATTTCAAAAATAGGAAGTCAGTCATGAAGCAAAGACTGTTTATGTGAGTTTAAGAAGCATTAGGCAATGCCTCTTTTGTGCTGAAAAAAAATCAACATTATTTACTTTGGGAATCTTGCCCGGATTTTTGTTAATTCGCTCATACAGTTTCTCCTCTCAGTTTATGACTCAGAGCAGTTTTTCCCAGCCCAGGCAGGGAACAAGAAAAGCCATCATATTATACAGACCCCACCGTGTGCACTGAACTCATTAGGTATGATTGAAGGTCCCCACTCCAGCCACATCCTAGAATAGAAATCCCCTCTTCAGACTCTACTGGGACTCATCTAAGAATGAGGCTGCCTGGTTTGGGTTACTCATTGCTGTGTGACAATCTTGCCAAAACAATGACTTAACCACCATTTCCCCTTCTTTTGAGTTAGGGTTTTGCTAAACTGCCCAGGATGGGAGCTCATACTTCTGCTTCAGGCTCCTGAGTAATTGGAATTGCAGGCATATGCCACTGTGCCCTACATAGACTCTTTTTTTTTTTTCCTTTTCTCCCTGTGGTGTTGGGATTGAACACCAGGGCCTTGCACATGCTAAGCAAACACTACCACTGAGCTTCATCCCCAGCCTTTAACCACACACCATTTTATTAGCTCTCTGGATTGATGGTTCAACTTGAGCCAACTGTTCCATGTGATCTCAGTTGGGGCTGTAACCATCTGGGGACTTAACTAGGCTGAAAAGCCCAAGGTGGCTCATTCACATGGCTAGTAATTGATGCTGGCTGTCAGCTGGGAGCTCAACTAGTGATAAAAACATCCACACCTGGCCTCCTCCTGGGTCTTGGGTTTCCCATGATGTAGCAGCTGGGATTGAGAGGAGTGTATCCTATGAGCAAGTGTTCCAAAGGGGAGGAAGTGCTTCAAAGCACTGGTTTAGGATTCAATTAATTAATCTTTTGGAGGCTCAGTCTCCCCATTCATCAGATTGATATGAAAATTGAATGAGGAGTTGGGCACAGTGGCTCATCCCAGAGGTTCTGGAGGCTGAGGCTGAGGATCGCAAGTTTGAGACCAGCCTCAGGAACTCAGTGAGGCCCTAAGCAACTTTGCAAGACCTTTTCTCTAAATAAAAAATAAAAAGGGCTGGGGATGTGGCTCAGTGGTTAAGGGCCCCTGAGCTCAATGCCTGGTACCAAAAACTATAAATAAATAAATTGATCAAAATATGCTATACTTATATATAATATAAACTTATATATAAGTTTATATTATAGTGAATTTCACCTTTATGATACCTATAAAGTACTAATGTAAAACTATAAATAAATAGAAGGAAGACCAATACAGTAGAGGAAGGGGAATATGAGAAGAAGGGAGGGAAAGAGGAAGTACTGGGGACTGAAGTAGAACAAATTATATTTCATGCATGTATGATGATGTTAAAATGAATCCCCATATAATTTATAACTCTGATGCACTTAGTAAAATGAAAAAAATGGGAAATAGGTGGTAAAGTGCTTGCTTAGTATATTCAAAACCCTGGGTTCAATCCCCAGTACCCAAAACAAACAAAAAGAATGTCAGAAATTAATTGAGATAATATATGTGAAGCTCTTCACACAGTGCACCATAAATAGGAATGGATTATGATTGTGGAGACACATAATTTTAAAAATTATTGGCACCCCTGAGCCTCGGTGGAATTTTTACATTTACCAGTAAAAGACCAGAAAGGAGTATGATATCTTTATATCTTTAAGGAGTATGATAATCCCATATAATTCTAATTCCTCCTCCTCCTCCTCCTCCTCCTCCTCCTCCTCCTCCTCCTCCTCCTCCTTCTTCTTCTTCTCTCTCTCTCTCCATACACACACACACACACACACACACACACACACACACACACATACATATATATGATATAGAGATAGATATAGAAATAGAAAACGATAGATAGATAGATAGATTCTCACATCATAGTATTTCTCTCTCCTCGCCTAAATCTGGCCCAGCCTATACTTGCTTTGGTAACAGAATGCATCATAAGATGTTCAAGGACTTCTGATATTAGTTCTTTTTTATTTTTGATTTTGAGACAGGGTCTCACTAAATTGCTGAGTGCCTTGCTAAGTGGCTGAAGCTGGCCTCCAACTTGTGATCCTCCTGCCCCAACCTCCCAAATCATGGGGATTACAGGTGGGTGCCACTGCACCTGGCTATAAAAGACCTTGAGACTACTGTTTTGGTCACTATCTCAGTTCACTCTTCATGTTGTGAGCAGCCCCAAGGAGAGGTACACAGGAGAGGTAACTCGTCCCAGGGTTACCTAGGACTATGTTGGCTTTAGCACAAAAAGTCTTGCACTCTGTGAAACTCCCTCAGTCTTGGACAAACCAGGATGAATGGTCACCATAGGCCCATGTGGCAAGAAACCAAGGCATCTATACAGCAATGATTGAGAAACTGAGGCCTCCCAACAAGAGCCACTCGAGGAAGCCATCTTGGAAGCAAGTCCTCCAGCCCAAATCTCGGGTTGATTGAACCTCCTCTGAAACTTCACAGCATCCTGTGTGAGACCCTGAGCCAGAACCACTCTCTAAGTTGATCCCAGAAACCCAACCCTCACAAAATGTGGGATAATAAATATCTGTTGTTTTAAGCCACTAAATTTGGGGTCATTTGTTAAATGACATTAGATAGTTTATATAGACCACTCAACACAATAGAAATAGAGGACAGATCCCCTCTATTTGGGCATGTCCCCCATCCTGTTTTAAGCAGCTGGGATGATCTTTTCACTTGGGGGCCTTCTTTTGCTTTCCTAAAAACCACCTTGAGGGGATTTGACTCCTTGCGTTCCTAGAGAGCAGTGCCAAGCAGGCCCTGGCTGCAGCTGAGTGAGCTCACTGCAGTGTAATTGTTTTCTAAACTTTTAGCATAAATCCCAAGGGCTCCTGAGGCTCCGTTTCCAGACTCGCTCTGAGCGGTCCAATTTCCCTGGAGGCCCCAGGTGCCTACCTGGGCGGCTTAAACAGCCAGGAAATCTCCCTGACGTGCAGCAGGACAGGTGGCTGCGTGCAGACAAATAACAATCAGCACCGTGGAGGCCCCACAGGGCATGCAGGTGGTTTGACAGGGCCTGGGCGGCCCCTCCTTGACCTCAAATCTCTTCCAACCAGGTACCTTGGCCTCTGAAATTTTACCTTTCCACGGTGAGACATTCACTCGGGTATTTGTTCATGTATTCGCCCACATGTTCTTCTGAATGAGTTATTTGAAGACCTTCCCTGCCCCAGGTCACATGAAAGCAATAGAAGGGAGCACAGAAGATAGGAGGGACCTCAAAAGGCTGATCTTGGCTCCAACCCATAGTGTCAGGTTAGACCATAGTATCAGGTTAGACCAATCCTGTCTATTGCATTGGGCTGCAGTCATGTAGAGCATTCCAGAAAGCTCAAGGTAGGGACCCAGAGACCCAGAAAGTAGGTCAAGATACAATTAACATGTGCTGAGCATATTTGTTTCCTAGCACAGTGTCACAAGCTGGGTGGTTTAAAACAACAGAAATGTATTCTGCCGGCAGGTGTCAGAATGGTTGGTTCAACTGAGGCTACGAGAGAATCTGTTGGAGGCCTCTCTCAGCTTTAGGGATTTGCTGGCCATCTTTGGTTTTTCCTGGTCTGTTGATGCATCAGCCCAAATCCTTCCTGCACCTCCTGTGACATTCTCCTCGTGGGCACATCTGTCTCCAAATTCAAATTTCCCACTCTGGTGACTTCATCCTTACTTAATCATCTGCAGAAACTTCATTTCCAAATAAGGTCGCATTCACCGGCGAGGGCGCTTAGAATTTCAACATCTTCAGGGGGACATAAACCCGTGACACAGAGCATTCGGTTAATATCCATGAAATGCCAGGCACTGCTCTGATAATTATTTTATATACATTTATTTTCCTAATCCTCACAAAGATTTCCACCTTATAGCTGTAGGTGCCAAGCATTAGAAAGATTATGGGACTGATCCTAGATTACATGGTTAGAAAGTGTGGGCTCTGGAATCAGGCCGGGCTTCCTTACCTGGGAAACCACACAGAAGCTATCTGAACTCTCAATGCGTCCGTTTCTCTGTTTGGAATATGTGGATAATAATAATCATACCTTCACCCATGCTGAGTTGGTATAAGGATTTTTAAAAGACAATGCACAGAGCTGGAACACAGTAATCACTGAACTTGTGGTGGCTGTTTTTATAAGTAGCAGAATCCAATCTTTTTGTTTTGTTTTGTAATGCTGAGGTTCAAACCCAGGGCCTTCACATGCTAGGCGAGTGCTCTACCACTGAGCTACATTTCTCCAACCTGTGATCAAAATTCAAGTCCACATTTCCTTAGCTCCAATGCCTTCCTTACTTCCTCTCTAATCCAACACATATTATATATATATATATATATATATATATATATATATATATATATATTACACCATATACATATATATGTGTGTACATATATAGCCCTTAGAAAATGACTTTTGGAAGCCAGCCTCAGCAACAGAGAGATGCTAAGCAGCTCAGTGAGACCCTGTCTCTAGATAAAATACAAAAGAAGAGCTGGGATGTGGCTCAGTGGTTGAGTGTCTCTGAGTTCAATCCCTGGTAACCCCTCTCCCCCGCCCCCCAAAAAAATGGTTTTTGGAGACAGAAAACCTTGGGTTCAAATCCTGGCTCCAACAGGGAGCAGTGAAGCATGCCTGTAATCCCAGCAACTCGAGAGGCTGAGACAGGAGGACTGCACATTCAAGGCCAGCCTCAGCAATCAAGCAAACAAATTAATAAATAAATAAAAGATAGATAGATAGATAGATAGATAGATAGATAGATAGATAGATAGATAGATAGATAAAAAGTAAAAAGAACTATGGATACGACTCAATGGTGAAGCACCCCTGGGTTGAATTTCCAGTACTGAGGGGAAAAAAAAAATCCCAGCTCCACCATTTACAAGATGCTTGATTGTAAGTGAATTAATTGTCTGAGTCTCATTTGCTTCATATATAAATGGATATGCTCATGATAAAATCTATAGCAAAGGGTTCTTGTGAAGATGAGTTGCAACACAGCTAAAATATCAGTAAAGATTGCCAAGTGCTTCTCTCTATCTCTGCATTGGCACTACTTTTGTATAATTATTTGTAGGAATCTGTTCCCCACAAATAATTATACAGTCTGTGGGCTTCAGGGTAAGGACTATGTCTTGTTTATCTTTCAGGTCCTCAATAAATAAGAAATGAATGAACAAACCAACTCATTAATGATGTATATGTTGGTTACCTGACCTTTCCTCGAGGATTCATTCCATAAGGTTGTCAGTTGTTTTATTGGTGGGGGTGAACACAGTACACAGGGGTGCTCTACCACTGAGCTACATCTCTGGCCTTTTTTTTTAAATTTTATTTTATAGTTTGAGACAGAATCTTGCTAAATTGTGGAGACTGGCCTCAAATTTATAATCCTCCTGCCTCAGCCTCCCCAATTGCTGGGATTACAGCAGTTGGCCACTGTGTTGGCTAATTGGAGTTTTCTTTTCATGATATAATTTCCATGTTCCTGCAAGGCCCAGCCCAGAATCAATAACCCCTTGTCCAATCCAACTTTCCAAACATGGCTGCCAATAATTCCTCATGTCCCTACATGTACTCGCCACTCCTCTTAACTAGCAGTGGAATTTATTTGTCCTACCCTTGAATCTGGACTTGCCCCAGGACATTGCCAACGGAATGCAGCCTAAGTCTGGGTTTGATCCCCATTACCTCAACAAAACAAAGAATACCATCTAAATAATACCGTGCCATTTCCAGGCCTGGGCCACAAGAGGCCTATAGTTTCACTGTTGCCTCTTGAGATCCAGTTGTCTCCTTAGAATATGCAGCTCACCCTGCTCAATGAGGAGAGATCACATGGAGACAGAGGGAGCTAGCCATCTAGCTGTTCCTAGCCCCCCACTGAAGTCTTCAAACATTCTAGAACATTCTCTGCTGGACATTCTCTCCCTGGCCAGACTCTCACCTGAATGTGGTCACTTGAGTGACCCCAGCCAACACCATACAGACCAGAAGAACCACCCTGCTGAGCACAACTAACTCACAGAATCGTGAGAAATAGTAAATAACTATTGTTGAGTGGCTAACCTTTAGGGTAGTTTGTTACCTAACAATAGACAATCAAATTCCCAGCCCCAAGTCCTCTCCCAGCTTTACCCTCCAGGTTATCAATGTAATCTCTACAGGGGACCCAGGTAATAAGAGAACTGTGAAGAAGAAGTTTATTTGCACAGTTGGCCTAGCAACAGCAGCCTTGGCAACCAGATTCATGATATAATTCCCAAGATTCAGAGACCCTTGAGAGGTGACTCCAGGCTTTGGAGATGGTCACAGTGGCAAATAGATAGCTTCTCGGTGGGATTCAGGAGATGGAATAGCCCGGCTGACCTTGTCTCCTACCTCAGCCACCCTCCTCTATCTTAGACTGGTGAGAACAGAGACTGGGCTTAAAGGCTTTAGCCAGCTTCCCTCAGTCACTGGTGGCCATCTGTTCCTTCCATATTTGATGTGGACCAGGATTAGAGCCCCACACAATTGTCTTTTACCAAACCAGGCTCTCTTTTCCATCATGGAGATGACAAGCTCTGCAAAAGGGATTGTTCGTGTGGCTACAAGCATGTGGAAATGGGAGAATTGGTCTCAAATTCACCTCCCCAGGCATAGAGTTTAGGGGCATTTGTGGGTGATCTAAGACATGAGGAAAGGTGGTAAGGAAAAGGGAAGTAATCAGTGGTCAGAGCATGTGTGGTCAAGCTTCTTGGTTCTTCCTAGGTCTCGTGTTGAGAAAATGGCATGTTGGCATGAGCTGCAGGTAGAGTTTTTGGTCCCCTGATGTCAAAGGGTCACCCATTGGACACTTGCACAGACCCAGGTGAAGGATCAGTGGGTGATTGCAACTGGTTTGAACTAGGCCACTTCTGAAAAACAACCTGAACAACGGTTATCATGGTGACCGTATGTCACTGGTGTTATCTGTAGCAAAGGTAGTAGGGATCTATTATTACTTTATTGTTTAGCTAAGCTAAAAGCAAGTGAAGCTGGATGGCTTATTTTGTTTTTTCCCTCAGTTTCATGTTCAGAAATAAGGAACCAGAATAGTTATATATATATATATATATATATATATATATATATATATATATATCAAACTGAATTTGTAGTTTAAAATTCCAGGCCCTAATGGTATCTCTGGTGAATTCAACCAAAATGGTGGGAGGATCTAGGTTATATATTGAAAATCACTAAAGATTGAAATAAAATCTGGGCATGGTGGCACATACCTGTAATCCCAAACACTTGAGAGATTGAGGAAAGAGGATCACAAGTTCAAGGCCAACCTGGGCAACTTAGACTCTGTCTCAAAAAAAAAAAAAAATTAAAAGGGCTGGGAATGTAGTTTAGTAGTAGAGTGCTCCTGAGTTCTATCCCCAATACTGCAAAACAAAAGATAATAAAATTCACCCTCACATTAGCTAAGAGGCACAGGTCTGAGCTATTGGCCTGGTCTTCTTCTAATTTGACAAGTGACTCGCAGTAAATCTCTTTATTTTTCTGTACTCAGGATTTTTAGGAGGAAAATGTTAAGATTCTGAAAGTGCTCTCCTATTTATCATTCATAGGGAAAACAAATGCCCGCCTGATGCCTAATATTTATTGAACTTCTTTATTTTCCCTTTCCACTTTTTTTTTCTTTTTTTTTTTTTTTTTTGGTACCAGGGATTGAGCTCAGGGGCACTCTACCACTGAGCCTATGCCCTCAGCCCCCTTTTGTATTTTATTTAGAGACAGGGTCTCACTGAGTTGCTTAGCACCTCACAGTTGCTGAGGCTGGCTTTGAACTTGAGATCCTCCTGTCCCAGCCTCCCAAGCCACTGGGATTACAGGCATGTGCCACCGCACCTGTCTCTTTCTACATCTTTTACTGGTGCATTATAGTTGTACATAATGATGGGATTTGTTGTTACATACTTGTACATGAACATAATGTAACAATATAATTTGGCCAATATGGCTTGCCAGCACTTTCCCCCTTTTTCCAATCCTTTCCTCTACTGATCTCCCTTTGATTTTCCTAAGATCTGCCCCCTCCTTTCTTTTCCCTTTTCCTCTCTAGCTTCCACATATGAGAAGAAACATATGACCCTTGACCTTCTGAACTTGGCTTATTTCACTTAACATAATGATCTCAAGTTTCAGCCATTTTCCCACAAATGACGTGATTTCATTTTCCTTTCTAGCTGAATACAACTCCATTGTGTATATATACCACATTTTCTTTATCCATTCATCCATTAATGGACACCTAGGCTGGTTCCTTAGTTTGGCTATTGTGAATCGTGCTGCTATACATGGGTATGCATGGGTAACTGTAGTATGATGATTTTATTCCTTTTTTATATATTTATTTTTTGTTTTAGGTGGACACAATATCTTTATTTATTTTTATGTGGTGCTGAGGATCGAACCCAGTGCCTCTCACACGCCAGGCCAGTGCACTAACACTTGAGCCACATCCCCAGCCCCGATTTTATTCTTTAGAATAAATACTAAGGAGAGGTATGGCTGGGTTTACGGTGGTTCCATGCCTAGTCTTTTGAGGACCCTCCATACTGATTTCCATAGTGGTTATAGTCATTTACAATTCCAATAGAGTAGATGTGTTCCTTTTTCTCCTCACCCTCTCTGACATTTATTATTGTTTGTATTCTTAATGACTGCCATTCTGACTGGTGTAAGATAAAATCTCAATGTAGTTAGTTTTTTTAATATATTTTTAAACTTTGTTGTTATTTATTTATTTACTTTTTGTTGGTGCTGGGATTTGAACCCAAGGCCTCACACATGCCAGGCAAATGCTCTGCTATTGAGCCACATCCCCAGCCCTCAATGTAGTTTCGATTTGCATTTCCCTCATTGCTAATGATGTTGAATATTTTTTCATATTGGCTATTTGTATTTCTTCTTTTGAAAAGTGCCAGTTTAATTTATTTGCCCATTTATTAACTGGGTTACTTGGTCTTTTAAATCCATTGTATATATTCTATATATTGATCCCATCTGAAGACAACTAGTAAAGATTTTCTCCCATTCTGTAGGTTTTCTGATGGGAAGACATCCCTAATTATTTCCTTTGCTGTGCAGAAACTTTTAAATTTGATACTGTCCCATTTATTAACTCTTGGCATTATTGCCTAAGCTTTAGGGTCCTGTTAAGAAAATTGTTGCTTGTGCCTACATGCTTATTTATTGAACTTCTAATTTGGTTTCTGCTTGGCATTTTTACATGCATTATCTTATAATACTCAACACAATCCAGCTCAGATTATTATCCACATTGTAAAAAGGAAAAAAACAAAACCCACAGAAGTTAAGGAACTTGCAGATGGTCACCCAGCTTGTGAGTTGGGAATGGGAACTGAAGTCCCAGTCTGGTCTATGCAGCTGGAAAAGTTTATTTGCCATCACACACCCTTCCTGCATCTGTGCAGGATCCCAAGGTGATGGTAGTTTACAGTCACTGAATATGGAATCATATGTGCTTTTTAATTTTATTACAAAGACTTTAAACTTCTTCCTTTAGTTGGTTGCTTATTATTCTAACTTTTGTTTACATCTATTCCCCCATTGAGTATTGACATTCCTCCCAAATGTTTTGCCATTAAAAAGAATTTTGAAATGAACAAGTTGTGTTATGTCAATACAAAGCAGAAATTCTAGATGGAGGGGAAGACCATTCTTTGGCATTATCAGGAATCTCATCTACATCACTTCTCCCCCCCACATCTGCTCCTTCTCCGCCCCCACTGCCTTAATGCACCTGGGTCCCCCATCACCCAAGGAGTGTCCTGACCTCAAGTTGCAGGGTGGAGAAAGGAAGGCGGAGAGAACAGTTCTTTTGGAATTCACACACCATTCAGACCCAATGAATTACTCACCTTTTAACAATTTAGCGCTGACCTCGTCAATCTTAAATAGCTTGGACAGCCAGAAAAATTAGGATTGTCTCAGGATGCTTATTGGTTTTGAAAAGATTATAAATCCTCTTATCTCAAAAGGACCAGGTGAAGGATTTGAAAATCCCATTAAGAATTTGAGCCTTTATCCCAAGGGCAATGGGTAGCCACTGAATGATTTTAAACAGAGGAGTAATGGCCTGATCAGATTTTTTTGATCTAGAAAGAATACAGTGCTTGGAGGGCGGTTGTAGGATTTAGTGATTAATAGGATGGAGGTGGAGGAAGTGGGGGAGACAGCAGGACCCCAGGACTCTGCCCAGGACAGCTGAATGGGAAGGGGGGAGGAGAGGGAAGGGAATGACAGCAAAGTAGCTCCCTCTGGGCCAGATGAGTTGAGGTCCCCAGGGGAGGCCACTAATAAAGATGATTTATGCTTCCAGGAGCTCCCTACCCAGGGCTCTGTGAGCTGCCTGCTTGGTCATATAGACCCAGGCCACAGGCCAGTCCAGCCCAGGGAACTGAGGCTTTGGGGAAGCCACAGCTGGCCTAGCCAAAGTGGAACATCAGGTAGATTCTAACATCATGAAGGTGATAAATCAAGAAGACTGCTAATCTTTTCCCAGTAGGGAATTCCGAGCTACCCCATTTAGGGGCTGAGATTTAGGTTTTCAAGTCCCTGGAGCTTTTCAATTCAAGAATTCGGAGAGATTCTTTTCTTTTTCAGTGCTGGCTGAGCTAAATCCCCAGTCCTATTTTCCCCCCAGTACTGGAAATAGAACCCAGGGGTACTCTTCCACTGAGCTACATCACCAGCCCTTTTTATTTTGAGACACAGGGTCTCACTAAATTGTCCAAACTGCTCTTGAATTTGTGATCCTCCTGCCTTGGTCTCCCCAGTCGCTGGGATTACAGGCTCACACCTCTGCACCTGGTGCTAGCCCTATTTTAAAATTTTTTATTTGTTTTTCTTAAATTCTTTATACTTGAGCAAAACACCACCCCCAGTACAGTACAGTCAATTGCTAGCAGGAGGCAGGTGTCCACGTGGAAACATGGAGCAGATCTGGGTCAGTGCTTTACAAGAAGTGCAGAGAGAAGGGAACGGTGGCACACACTGTAATCCCAGGCACTCACCTGTAATCCTTGAGGCAAGAGGATCACAAGTTCAAGGCCAC